AGGGAGATAAACCCTTCCAGGCCCCATGACCCACTTCTTCCTATCAGACCCCACCTTCCCCATTATCCCTTCACCTTCCCAAAGCCCCACCTAGGAGCACATGACAGTTTTGAAGGATATCTAGATCTAAACAATAACATTTCATCCCTGACCCCCAAAAGATTCATGTACATCTCTTCATTCAAAATACATTTAATCCATCTCTAAGAGTTGTCAAAGTACTAACAGTTTCAGCATCCCTAAACAACCGTTTTTGAGAGAAGTGTCCTTTCCATGGGCCTTTTGTTTGTTTGCTTGTTTGTTTGTTTTAGATGGGGTCTGGCAATATAGTTCAGGGTGGCCTTGAACTCCCAGTGATCCTCCTGGCTCAGCCCCCTGAGGGCTAGGATTAGAGGCATGCACCACCACACCTGACATCTGCTTTCTTTTTATTTATTTATTTGTTTGTTTATTTTGACATTTGCTTTCTTAAAAGGAAGACACTTTTACAATTTGGTGGGGCCTTGTTGTAAAGTGCTTGGCTTTTTATTTATTATTTTTTGGCTTCTTTTTAATGCTAATCTTTTTTAGCAACTCAGCTCTTCTTTACTCCAACTTTGCCAGCTCTTCCTTTTTGAGGAAACTAAACACTTTTCACCTGGGCTATTTGCTCCTGATTTTCAGTATAAACCTGACTAAAAGCAAGCAGTAACTGTGCAACAGCCAGATTTTCTCCACCAGTTTATTTTGTCTGCTGTCCATAATCTCAGTCCACAGTCTCAGAACATGAACAAAATGTGGACCATTTTTCTTCTCCAGCATAACACACATGGCCTGGACTCCACCTGTTAGTGGAGCAATGGAGTCCTTCCCAATTGGTATCTCCCAAGCCTGGCTTTTACTATCTACTGCCTTTTTTGTTTTGCTTTGTTTTTTGTTTTTGAAGATAGGTCCTCACTTTGAAGTACAGGCTGGCCATGAACTCACTATGTAGCCCAGGCTGGCCTTGAACTCACAAGGATTCTCCTGCCTCAGCCTCCTGAGTACTGGTATAGGCGTGTGCCACCACACCAGTTTTAGCATCTGCATTTTTATGTGCATTCTGATCTGCTAAACTGTGACCAGAATCTCCCATCAAGCTCAGCATGCAGCATTCTAGGGGTGCTTTTATAACCAGTATCCAAAGTATTTCCAAATTCTTCCCTGTGAATTGTTCCAAAGGCTTCTGAACCACATGGTCAGAAGTAGCATTACGGCAGTGACTGCATTTTCAGTATCAAAATTTGTCTTAGTTACTTTCCTCATCAAGGCCAGGGATTTAGCTTAGTGGTTCTGCCACCTGCCTCGAAAGCGCAAGGACCCGAGTTCAATCCCCAGTACCAAAAAAAACTATGTTTACTTTCCTCGTTACTGGGACAAAATATCAGACACCAGCAACTGAAAGGAGAGGTTTATTTTAGCTCACATTTTCAAACGATTGTTGGTTATCTCCAAGGCAGGAAGGGCATAGTGGAAGGGCCTGGACAAAGGAAAGCTGCTCATGTCATGGTGGCCTAGGAGCCCAAAAAGAATGTTTTGTTTGTATTTTTCTGTGAGACAGGGTCTCACTTTGTAGTTCAGGCTGGCTCTGAACTCACTATGTAGTCCAGGCTGCCCTTGAACTCATGGGGATCTTGCTTCAGCCTCCCAAATGCTGGGATTACAGGCGTGCACCACCACACCTGACCAGAAAAGAATGTTTAACAGTAACTGTTTGGACAGCTGTTCTTTCTAGGCTAAGAATTTTCACAGGTTTCTAACTTTTCTTTTTTTTTTTCCAACCAGCACAACAGATTTGTCTTGGATTGTAAAGACAAAGAACCCGATGTACTGTTTGTAGGAGACTCCATGGTACAGTTAATGCAGCAGTATGAGGTAAAGGTGGAAGGGGGTGAGAGTGGTTCTTGGTACTAGTGTATATCCATAATTACTGGCTTTCATTCTGAACTGACCCTCTGTAGACCCATTCATGACACTTAGAGAAGTCGTAGTTCAAAGTACAAGGGAAATTTACCTACCTAATTGGATGGGATTCTGTTTGCCACCAAGCATGATGAAACAAAAAAATTAGCATCATTTTTGACTAAACTCTCTTTTTTGCTCTAGTTTCCAAAAAGCTAGATATTTGTTTGTTTATATTAATCCTTGTCATGATATTCATTATTTTTTTTTATTTTCTTATTTTGTATATTTTTTGTGGTGAATTATTCCAAATCCTTTTTAAGAGTTAGACTTCCTTCCAAGGAAAATTTAAAAGAAAAGATAGTTTTAAAATACTTTAGTGAGGGCTGAGGATTTAGCTCAGTGGTTCTGGTGCCTGCCACGCAAGTGCAAGGTCCTGAGTTTGATCCCCGGTACTGAAAAAAAAATACTTTAGTGAATGGAAAGGAGAGTTTTTGAGTTGGCAGCTAAATTAAAAATATTGATGGGATTAGAAATGTTGTTCAGGGGTAGTACTATACCTAGCAAGCATGAGGCCTTGGATTTGTTCCCCAATATGCACGCATGTGTACACACACCTCAACCAAGTAAAATGTTGGTATCTCTGTTAGGACATCATATTGAGTTGTGACTCAGTTCCTACTATTGCATTGTTAAGAACTGAGTAACATTTTTTTGACTGTACTAAAAGAAAAAAAAAAAACTGAGTAACAACACAAAAGTCCTTTAAACAGTAAGTGGCACACCATTTTCAATGTTAGGTTTGAGTAAAGAAAATAGATCTCACAACACATTGCAGTTGAAAGATTACGTTTCCTGCTAATTTTAGCTTAACTACATCAACTTTTTCTCTTTAGATATGGCGAGAGCTTTTTTCCCCACTTCATGCACTTAATTTTGGAATTGGGGGAGATACGACAAGACATGTTTTATGGAGACTAAAGAATGGAGAACTGGAAAACATTAAACCTAAGGTGAAACGAAACTTGTTTTTAAAAGAAACATTAATTTTGAGTCTTTTTCAAATAAAATTGTTAAATTGTCTGAAACTATAGTAAAAAAAATTCCTTCTTTAAAGCACTATTTCACTATTGGTTTTTTGCTTTGTGTCCCTTTAAGGTAAATGACATTGTCATTGTGTAAGAATGTTCTAAAGAAACCAGGGTTGTATTTGTAATTGTTCTAATTATCTTCATCAGTTGTAGGAAGAGATTAGCTACAAATGATGTGTGCTATTCTGTAGAATACATGGGCCTGGGACACTACTGGGAGGAACTACTCAAGTGTTGAGAGCTAGGGCCATGATTGACTTTGAGAAATAATTTGGATTTGTTTAACCATATAAACAAATTGGTAATCAAGGCCTCCAAGTTCTTCTGAAGAAAATTTGTGGCGGATGTGAACAAATGAACATCTACCCAGTACCTTATCACATTAGAAACATCCTGAATTGGCACACTGCATATAATTTTTTTCAACCATAACAAAAGACCCAGTGCTAAGCTGCTAATATAATTTGCATTCATTTAAGGTATTTTATTCTTTGCCTTTCTAACAGAAAAATTCATATCTGTGCCTCTTTTGGGACACTTGGGTGATATAATAAGATGTGTTGTCTCTAAGTGACAGACACCTTGTAAAATGATTTTTTTAAAAGAGAAAGATTGTATCTAGCTGCCCCCCCTTCCCTGAGTGTTTATACCCATTACACTCCCTTGAGTACTTCTCTTATTAAATGAGATACTTTTTTTTTTTTTTGGTACCGGGGATCGAACTCGGGTCCTTGTGCTTGTGAGGCAGGCGGCGGAACCACTGAGCTAAATCCCCGGCCCTATTATATGAAATACTTCTAATCAAGGAGAAGAAGAAATCCCTATTTATTATGTGAATTGTAAATATTTTCCCCAGGTTCTTTAGATTTCACTTAGTTTTTTGAGACTGTAAAAAAAAAGGCAATCTTCCTGCCTCAGCCTCTTAGTGCTAGGATTACAGGTATATGCCAATAAGCCTGGCAGGTTTCACTTTTAGTTATACATATATATGATATTATATAGAAGGTTTTATTTTTATACAGTTGAATGGTATTTTTTTATATAGCTCCTGGATTTTGAGAGATTAGCTTCTAACTCCATGATGATAGAAGCCTCTTGTTTTCCTCCTAAGTTTTTTTTTGTTTTTTTTTTAAGAGGTCCAAAAACTACCTTCATTAAATAATTACTACT